TACAATGGGATCTTAATCAGATGGGCCAATGGGCTGAAAAATGGCAGATGGAATTTAATTTAGATAAATGTGAGGTGCTGCATTTTGGAAAGGGAAATAAGGGCAGGATTTATACACTTAATGGTAAGGTCCTAGGAGTGTTGCTGAACAGAGAGACCTTAGAGTGCAGGTTCATAGTTCTTTGAAAGTAGAGTCGCAGGTAGATAGGATAGTGAAGAAGGCATTTGGTATGCTTGCCTTTATTGATCCGTGCATTGAGTGTAGAAGCTGGGAGGTCATGTTGTGGCTGTATAGGACATTAGAATTATAGAATCACTAGAATGTGGAAACAGGCCATTTGGCCCAACAAGTCCACACTGACCCGCTGAAGAGTATCTCACCCATACCCAGCACCTTCCTTTTCCCTGTAATCCCTCACCCATGGCTAAGTCACCTCGCCTGCACAGCCCTGAACACGATGGGCAATTTAGCATGGTCAATCCACCTAACCTACACAAATCTGGACTGTGGGAGGAAACAAGAACACATGGCGGAAGCTCACACAGACATGGGTAGAATGTGCGAACTCCACACAGACAGTCGCCCGTGGAATCAAACTCGGGTCCCTGGTGCTGTGAGGCAACAGTGCTAATCGCTGAGCCACCATGCTGCCCTAATACATGTTCGATGTATTAATGTAGTAAACCTGTACAATATTTAGGTTTGGTCTAGTAAGTGACAACATTTCTACCATAATGCCAGACAATGACCATTTCAAATAAAGAATGTAACCATTTCCCCTTGACATTCAATGGCATCACCATCTCTGAATCCTCCACTATCAACAACTGGGGGGGTTTGCATTTGAACAAAAGCTGAACTAGACTGGCCATAAATCTACTGTGGCTACAAGACCAGATCAGAAGCTGGAATGCTGTGATCAGTAACTCGCCTCCTGACTCTCCAAAAAATATCCACCATCTACAAGTCCTCAGTCAGGAATGTAATAGGGCACTCACTGCTTGCCTGGATAAGTGCAGCTCCAACAAGCAAGAAGCTCAACACCATTTAAGACAAAAAAAATTGTTTGTTTGCATGCTGATAAAAACAAATAAACAATCTGTTGGTTCAAAAATGGATTCCCTCCACAACCATTGCCTAGTGGCAGCAGTATGTGCCGTATGACTGATGCACTGCAGCAGCTTGCCAATTCTAAAGTACTTTCCAAATATCCAAATTCAACTACCTAGAAGAACAAGGGTGGCATAAATATGGGAACATGACCTGCAAGTTCCCTTCCAAACCTCATACCGTGCTACCCAAATACATATTAGATGTATTAATATAGCAAACCTATACAATATTTAGGTTTGGTGTAGTAAGTGACAATTGGAAATATATTACTTCTTTCATTGTCACAAAGAATCCCTACAATGTGGAAGCAGGTCAGTTGGCCCATTTGAGCCCACACCAATCCTCCAAAGAGCATCCCACTCAGACCCACCCCCAACTGTATCCCTGTAACCCTGCATTTCCCATGGATGATCCACCTACCACATCTTTGGACTGTGGGAGGAAACTGCAGCACCTGGCAGAAACCCAAGCGCACATGGGGAAAATTTGCAAACTCAGACTGGAATTGAACCCAGGTCCCTGGTGCTGAGAGGCAGCAATGCTAACTGTTGTGACACCGTGCCAACCGCTGATCAAAATCCTGGAATTCCCTGGGCAAAAGTCACTGGATGTACCAGGTGGCCTGCTGCAGTTCAAGGAAGCAGCTCACCACTACCTCCTTGAGGGGATGTAGGGGGACGGGCTTACCAATGATGCTCTCATCCCATAGGAAAAACGAATCGGGAAAAGCCAACTGTCTAAAAGTTGCATAAAGAACTTGCTCAGCCTGCGTGTCAAAAGTCATCAATCCTACTAAAGCTTGTGTGGTGGGTGAATTTTAAGAAGTGCTAAATATGAAATCTGTTATTTAAAAACTATAAATGTTGATAACGTCACATTGTGAAACTTCCAACGCCATGGGTATTTAATGAGTTGATCCTCATGGATCTAAATATACAGGTCAAACTCACTTCATTACACACTTAGTATACTGAATGACCAGATTTTTTAATCTTTCTGCGATTCCTTGTGAGGGCAAAGAGGTTCCTCTAGACAATAGATAGGTGAAATGGATAGGGTTCAGACTTCCAATACCAGTGACATTCCTGACCGAGATGGAATAGAGACGTGAAAATGGGTAATCATTGTCATGGGTTTAATGGGCTCTGATGGTAAGGCAATACTTGCCAAAAGTAGTTCCCAAAGTTTAAGGTTCATTTTTCCTTGATTGTTTTGTCAATAAATCATTCTGGATTTTTGAGCAGTTGGTAGGTGGTTTGTTTAATTCAGTGTTTAATGGCTCATGTGTTTTGACTTGGAGATGCTGAGAAATAGGATGTGGTAGTGCAAAAGCTGGATAGTGGTATTCAAAGTGACCATGACACAGGGATCATCCAAATGTTGTTTGCCCAGATTGGTACTTAAATAACATTATAATATTCCAGAGGGTCCAGTGAGTGGAGGAATGTGACAATTATGGGAAATACAAGAACTTAGCAATTTATATATTGATTAACTGTTCTGGAAAATGACAAAGAAGTCATTGAGCTGACAGATTGAAATGACAGAGCAGAGAGTTTGAAAGTGCAGTGCAAGTACTGCAAATAAGATGGTGTGACTCAATGATTAGGCCCCTTTTGGAATACTGCGTGCAATTCTGGTCTCCCTGCTGTAGGAAGGATGTTGTGAAACTTGAAAGAGTTCAGAAAAGATCTATGAAGGTGTTGTCAGGGTTGAAGGGTTTGAGCTATAGGGAGAGGCTGAACAGGCTGGGACTATTTTCCCTGCAGCGTTGGAGGCTGAAGGGTGACCTAATAGAGGTTTATAAAATCATGAAGGGCATAGATAGGGTGAATAGCCAAGGTCTTTTACCCGGGGTGGTGGAGTCCAAAACTAGACGCCGTAGGTTTAAGATGAGAGGGGAAAGATATAAGAGGGACCTAAAGGGCAATGTCTTCATGCAGAGGGTGGCGCGTGTATGGAATAAACCACCAGAGGAAGTTGTGGGAGCTGATACAATTACAACATTTAAAAGGCACCTTGATGAGTATATGAATAGGAAGGGTTTAGAGGGATACGGGCCAAATGATGGCAAATGGGATTAGATTTATATAGGATATCTGGTCAGCATGGACGAGTTGAACCAAAGGGTCTGTTTCCACGCTGTATATCTCCGTGACTCTATGATTCTAATTATTGTAAAGCTGAACTTGTTCATAAATTATACAAATATGACTCTAGTCCCACACCAATGTGGTTGACTCTAATGGTTCTCTGATCGGCATAGCAAGCCACTTTTGGCAATATTTACATTCTGAGAATGAAGACAAAATTAGCATAATCAGACAAGATGATATGGTCCAAGAAAGCGGCACTGGCAAGGCAAGCAGTGTTCAGCACCTAGGCCCGTGCAGCCCAGACTGGCTGCTTCTTTTCTTACTCTTTGTCTTTCCCTTTCTTCATCTTCTTCCTGTCGGTGGTGGCAAAGGTGACATCGCGGAGGAATGTGGCCAGAGCAGGACTCCTGGTGAGTCAGCAGAGGCCTGGTCTGGCGGCAAAGCCAGGGACTCCTGGTAGTGGTAAGCCCAGAGCAGGAACCCCAGGTGTCAGTGAGGCGGTCTCTTGTTCAGCTATATCTTTTCATTCTTTTTAATCTAAAAATTTTCAAAATGGCGCTGGATAGTGGCAACAGTTGAAGCTTTTCACTGTATTTTACTGTGTTGTTCATTGTAGAGTACAAGTGACAATGAATCATCATGATTATCATTATTGTTAACCTTTGAAAATATTTATAAACCTAACTGGTTCAATATAATGACAATAAGATCAGTTTAAGTCCCCTGTTTCCAAAACTTATAAGATATAGAGACTGAGCCAGTGGCATTACAATAAACGGCTAATGAAGAAATACATTGGCATAACGTTTTTGTTTCTAGCCAAATAGTCTGTATCTGAAATGCAATATTCTGTGATTGGTGAGACACAAGAACATTATTTGAAGATCAGACTTATGTTTGTCATTTTCTAGTGATCTGCTAACTTTATAAATGAACTGATGTGTTCTGAGAGTCACTTAGAAATTTCTGAAGTCATGAGATTTGCCTGTAGCTTTTAAGGTGCAATTGCAATATATGCAACATGTACTGAGAGTACAACTAATTGAAATGCGATATCATAAGATTATAAACCAGCTAATTCTTTTACGGGATTAATTATAAAATGGTTACTTTACGGAAGGAACACATTAAGCTCATTGATTCCGTGCAAAAACAAAAAGCTGAATGTTTTATTCTGTAATGAATTGAAAGAAGTAGTTTGACATTTCTTCAGTCCCTGTGATTTCTGCTGCCTCCTGATTAACCTTTCTATCTTTTGCCTAAGTCAGCCACTCAGTCATGCACACAGGTTTCTGGATAATCCCCTTACCTCTACTCTCATGTGCTTTGGTCATCATGAAATCAAACCCCGGTGTAGGAAATCATTTGATATTCCTGTTTCCTGGTCTTACTGTTGGAGATCATGACTGTTCACTTTCTACTGTTAAGAGCAGATGATAAGATTAAGACAAGTATTTCTCAATAGATTTTTCCCAGAAATCTCTGCACTGAGTAATTTTTTTTCATGTGTGGTCACTATACAAAGTTTCATTGCAGTGCTGATTCCATAACATTAATTGTGAGACTGGTGAAGGGGTGCTGAGTGCCAATGTGTGCGTGGTAAAAGATCTAAAATCTGTTTACTGAATCTCTTTGGAGTAAACAGAATTGAAGTAAATAAGACAGAACAGCAAAAAGAAGCTCTAAACAGCTTGTGACTTCTGTCTGATTTTGTAATTTCACAAAGGAAATAACTAATCTTTTAAATTAAGGAATCACTGTAGGCATTGATCAATGTCTTCTATTTTCTAGCTAAGTTGACATTGGATTTTGACCTTGGTGAGCTAATGAAACAAGATACAAGAAATCTGAACAGGAGAGATATGCCAGCTCCAAAAAGCACAAGTACACGTCCTGCTAAGACTGAGGTACATTTATCACAGACTTTGTTTGACAAATATTAAGGCACCAAAAGCTTTCGGGCCGGGCAGGGATGTTCAGCCATATGATGAAAATGGTGAAGCTGCACCCAACAATGTCCAAGTAAAAAGCAGGAATTATGTCTCTAATTGAATTCCATAGGGGCTTTAGCTACCTTATTTGCCTATTTAAACAGTCTAAAGCTGTTTAACAACACCAAATAATAAACTCCTCTTGAAACTTAGCTGTAGGACCATGTTTGTGTAAATTGGGTGCAGGCAATATTTTTTTAAACAAAGATAATATCACAGCCAAACTATTGCATTCATCTTTCATAGTAAAAGGCATATTTATATTTAAAGTCCTGCTCACAATGGTATAATGCAGTACGAAGTAGGAGGACGGACTTATAAGATCAGCTTGGCAATTAATGATTGATACACGATCCTTATTGATTGCATGTTAACTTCAAGCTTACTTTTATTTTGTGAACATTTTTCCAGCTGATTGCATGATTGTTTATTTACAGTGACATGGCATCAGATTTTCCTTTAGGTGTGAGGTTGTAATTACATTTTATTTTCTTTGCATTTTTAACTTTTTACCATGTATAACAGACCTTCAGTCAATGGGTTTGGCAAGGAATCTAATTCTGAAGCACTGCTAAGGATATGCCAGGGAGCCAGAGATTAAAAACTCCTTTGAATTTCTCTCTTGCATTTGGAGTTCCACTGGCAACATATCATAGATGACCATGGATTCTACTTAGAGAATTGTCAATGCAAATGTTTGTCCCTCTACTTTTTTGAGAGGGCTTTCATTTGTATGCACCTTTCACAGACTCAGGATGTCCCAAAGCAGTTTGCAGTGAGGTACTCTTCAAGTTTGTAATGTCCTTGTTATTGTATATGTAAGTTGTACTACTATTGTATTAGCTGGACCTTTGAATTTTAATGTGCTGTTTTATGAAAAATGATTAGCACAGTATAGCTGTAGTGTTGCTGTTTTAAGAGCATTCTGATGACTGAGTGTATCAGTGTACTATTGTATTGTAAGAAGACAATATAGTTCCTTAGCCATGTCTGTCTTCTCAGTTGGTAAATGTTGAATCACAACTTGGGTGCAAGTGAAATCTTTCTCTTTTTCTCAGTACTATGACGAGTACTGCCTTTTTGTTACAGCATCAAGCTGTCCTGAAGTAAGTTTAGTGTTCTGGTCTCATGGTAACCCCTTCTAATCATTAATCATTGTGTGGAATTTTAAAAAATGTTCTTGCTGTCTGTACTAAGTTTCTCTTTATCATCTTGAACTTCTGCACTTTTATCATGCATGTACTTTATCCTTTTTCAGATCCCCACACAGGCATCTTTTTCCAAGCTGAAGAGCTCTTGCTTACTAGATTATTCTGTATATTGGGGTGTACTCGGGCTTATTTTTGATTAATTAGTTGAGCTAATATAAATCATGAATTGCCCAACTCATTGTTCTGAATGGTATATTTCATTACATTTTGAATCGATTATTAAACTTATCTTAACTGTATCTTTTCACAGTCATCTTATGTTGGCCACGGTCATGAATTTCAACGTATACTTTTCAGACTTTCTGGTCGAAGCCCTCTGGTATCTCACTTTCTGAACATGAAAAAGATAAAAGGTAGAAGTTTGAGCACTATGGGACCAAAAATGCAACGCATTGAAATTTCCAAAAGTCCATATCCTTTAAGGCTCAGTACTTTTTCTTGGAATGTCATCTGTTTATATCTTTCTGTGAAAATATTATTTTACTGTGTCCTTATCAATGGTTAAATGATCATCTTTTCACATCAGCAACAATATTCCTGTATGGATGTAAATGTAGTGCATTTGAACTAATCTTGACAGTCTCATTTAATAGTGCTGGTTGCACTGGCAAATTAACCTTAATTCAATCATAACCTCTTTCACTATATGCAAAATTATTTTATGCATCTTGGGAATGTTAAAGCAAAACAGTTAAAAGGTGGGAATCTAGAATTTCTATGGAAATTTATTACAACTATGACAAATAGAGAAAAACAATAAATGCGGGCCAGCTAGCGATGCCCACATCCTACAACTGAATTGAAAAAATACTTTAATATAAACTGTGATCCATGAAGTATGTAATATTGCTGCTGAATACTTTTATAATTTTCATAAATTGTGTAACGGTACTGGGACCATAACTATTACCATCAAGCAATGAGGTTAACAAGGGATAGGAAAGATAATAATGATAGTCACCACAGTCCTTTTGGACCATAGGCTGCTCTCATTAGACAAGACGACTGATGGTGGTTTAACCTGAGGGTCACCATTCCTCAGACAAGGGAGGGGTTGAGAAGGAGAGTTCTTCATGGTAACCTCAGCCAGTATTGGTTGGTTAGTTCAGTTGGTTGGACAGTTGGTTTGTGATGCAGAGTGATACCAACAGCATGGTTTCAAGTAATAATTACGAAGGTTTTAAAAGTTGTTAAGTTGTCACAATACAGTTCATGACTTTTAATATCTTAGCTTAATTTGAGACTCATCTGATTTAAGATTGTAAAAGTAAAATTACTCACAAGACTGATAAGGTAATCAGATTAGGATTGTTTCGCCTTCAGTAATTTGAGCTTTATAAATCAATACAGTTATGTGAGATGTGTTCTGTACTTTTATGACATTTCTTAATGTAATATTCAACAAAATAATTTGTCCTTGAGATTTTCATTTTTTTAGCAACATCAAAATTATGTGAAAAATGATAGAAGGAAATATCAAACGTACAATGTGGTCACGTTGTCACCAAATTATGTTCGTTGTCCCTTGATACAATGTAGGCATCATTGTTTACATATTAAACTAATGATGTTCAGAACTAAATATCATCATCTTAATTAGTTCTATCCTTCCTAAATATATAATTGCTTCCAGCAGGCAGGTTTGGCAGATAGTCATATCAAATTAAGATTTAGCTTTGTATCCCCAAGGCAGTGTCTTCATTCACATCATCTTTGTTATTGTCCTCATAGTCATTGCCTTCCTGTATATGGCTGAATACACCCAGACGATCTTTTACAACTGGGATAATTGTTCCTCATATTGGCTGGCTGCATCAATTTTGAGAGATGATTATTACATATTTTGGCTAAATCCGAGTTGCCTCAAGATTTTTTGACGGATTTCAGTGCAAGCCTAGTGAGTTTTCTTGCCATTTCTTGTCAAACCTACTTCTAACTCCCTACTTTGCCCTCATGATGCCAGCCCTCATGTCTGACTTCAGTGGCATAGTAGCATGTACCACTTCTGAAACAACTCACTACTCAGTGGATATTTGCAATGCCGTGGCCTTGCAACCACACAGCTCATGGCACATAGCCTGTATGACTGACATTCCCTCACATTACAACCCCATTCTCTCACCTGAGTCGCTGTTTAACCACCAGGCCACACAGTTAACATGTTTGTAGCTATATCCTATCTACATATTCTCCAATGCCCAGTGGAGACCCAAAGTTTGTTATTGTCCAGTAGACGAACATCATACACAGGCAACCAATGGGAAATCAAAACATTTTATATGTAGACAGTAAAGGGGAACACAAACAAAACAATAGAAACTGAATAAAAACCAAAAGAACTGCGGATGCTGTAAATCAGAAATTGCTGGAAAACCTCGGCAGATCTGGCAGTGTCTGTGGACAGAAATCACAGTTAACGTTTCAGGTCGAGTGACCCTTCCTCAGAACCGTTCTGAGCTTTTTTGCTGAGCTTTTCCAGCAACTGCTGTTTTTGAATAGAAACTGAAGTTTGCCCTGACAATGCATACCAGATTTCAGCATTATGACCAACAAATATTTTATGGTACATAATGGTCCGGTGGATCCAGCAGTCATCTATTGGAAGAGAGTGTCTATACTTTAAAAAGCCTTTACATGGAAACAAAAAATTGTTCTGAAAGAATATTGCTTCTATCAAAATTTGATTTTTAAAACAAAAATTTAAGGCCATTGTTAAAGAAGTGAAAGTGGCCAGCGCTGTATGGAGGTTTGTACTAAGGCAGTTCGTAGTTCACAAGTTCAGTAACCTGATTATAATGTTACAATAATAAAGAAAGTAATTTCTTCAAGTAAATACTCTAATCTTGTTGCCTACCAATTTGCTGTATTGTTGAAGATCATCCATTTTGTTTTACCTTTTCAGCAACCTGAACTATTAATTCACAATATGCTGGGTGGGCTAACATGGTGGTATCAATCTGCTGGTAAAACTGTTCAGCCCAATGCAAGCCTGCAGCACAAGAATCTAAGTTGGGTCTGGATTTTTAAGTTTTGAATTAACTTGTTGCTGATTAAACTTTCAATGCTAAGCCTTGACCTTAAATGAAACTACAGTTTTGTTCATCATCCCAGGAGGCTTTGAAATTATGTTGAGTTGCACATAACTGATTTGGACCCCGTTTTAAAAAGATTCTAATGTTGCTTTTGGCTCCATTTTCTTAATTTGTCCTCTGTCTTTAAGTATGAAATTGCAAGATGAATGAGAAAATAAAAACAAGGCAATTACTACCCAAGGATACTAAATAGTCTTAAAGTAGTTAACATTTTAACTTTAACTGAAACCAGTGCACGCCACTCTCTCCAACCTACCAAGATCTAATCAAAGAAACAAAGAAACGAAGTAAAGAGCGCCACCAGAAAATTATTGAGTAAGTTAAAAATCTACACTTATTTTTATTTTAGGTCACATTGTCACCACATTGATTCTTATTTTGAAAAAATAGTTCAACCGTTTGATTTCAGAGTAAAGTTTACATCTTAAATTTAAAGTTTACATCAACATTTAACTGTTGTGCTAATTGAATGCATAGATACAGCATATATTACGCAATTAATGCTGTTCTGCACAGCGATTACTAAATAATTCACTCGTATCTCTTCTGCATTTTATTTTTTTTGTTTTTTAGTTTACATGAGCAAACCCAAAAGGCACTCACAGCACTAAGATGGGATCGAATCCAGTTTAACAGGAAAATTGACAGGTTGTACTACTTTTGTTCAAAATTCTATTGAAGTAATGAAATGGCAATCGCCAACTCAAAACTAGGATGCTGCTTTTGTGAGAACTTTGGAGTGAAGTGAGAAAAGTGCATGCTATTAATGCAGTCTTTGGGTTCTTTCAATACAACATTTGGAATGCAATACTAACATCAAAAACTGATGTTATACTTTAGGTATTGCTGTTCCCTTTTAAATAAAATGGCTTCCATAACAGCAAGAAACGTACAGAAAGTTATGACCGATATCATAGAACTCAATTAAGTTTTTTAATAGACTTACAGGAGATTGTGAATGCAAAACCTCTGGAATTATTTAAGGAACAAATGGATGTTTATGACTGTATGTTCACTGGATTGCAAGATATTTATGAACTTCCTGATATCCATGCCGAATCTTCCTTTTGTGTGTTTGAATCCATGTTCCATTGTGTCACTTTTATAAATTAAAGGGAATTTTTCAGATAAAGCTTTTACTTCTCAGATACCTCTTTCAAGGTTGAGGCAGGTGATGAGGAAAGTCTGGTTGTCATTGTCGACCTGGACTTGACAACGCCATTGATAAGGTACTTCATACTAAGTTACTTCAGGAACAGGCATATTGTGGTATGCATTAGAATTCAATTTCATTGGACCAAGAATTAGCTCAAATCTCAGGATCAAAATAGTTTTAGTTAATGGATGTTGTTAAACTGGTGGAATGTAACTAATGGGCCCCAATGTTTGCCAGGGTGAAGGGTATTTCTACCTGGCAGAACTGCCAGGAGAAGTCAGGAATCCAAAGACCCATCCCCAAACCTGGCATCTCTCATTTTCATGGGGAGGGTTTGGGCTGAGCTGTAGCTCATGTATGTGCAATTCTCAGAGGCAACTGGCCATTTAAATGGTGAAGACCTCCACTGAAGTTGGATTTCCTTGTATCTGGAACTTGAAGTATAGTGCTTGGACCTGGTAAGAGAGGTCTGGTTCCAGTCTCCTGATTAATACTCATGCTGAACAATATGTGAATAGGCACAAAAGGGAAGGGAAAGGGGTGATATGTGGGGACATATGAGTTGGCATAGGGTCTGTGAAGAGTTATGGGTTTGATTGGGGTCACAGGGGTATTAGAGGACATGGTAAATGGGTAGATTAGCATGACGGTATGATGTACCATGGTTACAAGTGTAGGTTTGTATAGAGAGTAATGGTGTGAGAGTAGTAGGGATGTCAACCTTGGGAAGCAAACAGCTACTTCAATTTTTTTCTTGGGTCACCTGGCCTGACTCTCAATCCATTCCCTCTCCAAATCTAAAATGAGAGCAATCAATTTTAAAGGTGGAGTTTGGAGAGCTGGGATTTCTCCTGACTCTACCTGATCCAAGAGTGAAAATCACAGCCCTGGTATTTCCACCAGACATCAGTCACAGGACTGCCTTGTTCTCTATGACTGGTCTGTGGTGGTGGCCATATGATTTGTGATCCCGCACACCAAAATCAGTGCGAGAGTTAACATTGTAGAGGAGTGATATCAGATGCAAAAAGTTTTAAATGTATTAAGGTTGTAGATTGTATAGAACAAAACTGAAAGTAAGTAAGAGAGGAAAAGAAAATCTTCTACATTGCATAGACCTTTAAAGCTTAATAAGAACACAAGAGCATAAAAAATAGGAGCAAGGCTAGTGCATTCAGCCCATCAAGCCTGCTCCACTTTTTTCTATAAGATCATGCCTCAGCAGAGATATTTGTATCATTGATGATCATGGGTGAGGTGCTGGAAGACTGGGAGGTGGCTAATATTGTGCCTTTATTTAAGAAAGGCTGCAAGGAGAAGCTAGGAACTATGGACCGGTGAGTCAGACGTCAGCAGTGGGTGAGCTGTCAGACGGGCTTCTGAGAGACAGGATTTATGTGCATTTGGACAGGCAAGGACTGATTAGGGATTGTCAGCAGGACATTGTGCATGGGAAATCATGTCTCACAACTTGACTGACTTTTTTGAAGATTTGACCAAGACGATAGATGAGGGCAGACGGTAACATTGTCCACATGTCCATGTGGACATTACTAAGGCCTTTGACAAGGTTCCACATTTTAGACTGGTTAGTAAAGTTAGATCACATGGAATTCAGGGAGAGCTTGCCAATTGGATACAAAATTGACATGACAGTAGGAGACATAGGATGGTGGTGGAGGGGTTTGTTTTTAGACTAGAGGCCTATGACCAATGGTGTTCTTCAGGGATCACTGCTGGATTCGCTGTTGTTGTCATTTATATAAATGATTTGAATGAGAATTTAGGAAGCGTAGTTAGTAAGTTTGTGGATGACGTCAAAATTGATGGTATAGTTGACACTGAAGAAGATTATCTAAGATTGCAAAGGGATCTTGAAAAATTAGGCCAATGGGCCAAGGAATGGCAGATGGAGTTTAATTTAGATAAATGCAAGGTGTTACACATTTTGTTAAGATGAACAAAGGCATGACTTACACAGTTTCTTATAAGGCCCTGGGAAGTGTTGTCAACAGAGAGACTGAGGGGTTCAGGTACATAGTTCCTTGAAAGTTGTGTCACTGGTAAACAGGTTGGTAAAGAAGAGCTTGGTATGCATATGCATGTCTTCATTGCTGAGACCATTGAGTATAGGATTTGGGACGGTAACCAATCCTCAATCCATCCTAATATATTACCCACAATACCATGAGCTCCTATCTTGTGGAATAACCTTTGACATAGCACCTTATTAAATACCTTCTGGAAATCCAAAAACACCGCATTTACTATTTCTCCTTTATTGCCTCTGCTTGCTTTATTGTCAAAGAACTCTAGCAAATTTGTCAAATATGATTTCCCTTTCTCAAAACCATATTGACTGTGATTGCATTAAGTTATGTCCTGCTATTTCTCCCTTAATAATAGACTAGCATTTTTCCAAAGACACGTTAGGCTAACTGGCCTACAGTTTCTGCTTTCTGTCTCCCTTCCTTCTGGAACACAAGTGTTACATTAGCAGTTTTTCAATCCACTCGAACCCTCTTAGAAATCAAGTGGGTTCTCGAATATTTCAATCAATGCCTCCACTATCTGTGTAGCCACTTGCTTTAAGATCCTTGGGTGTAGGTGCTCAGGTCCTGGCCACTTGTCTGTCTTCAGTCCAATTAGTTTGTCCCCCAGGATAGAGACGGTTACAATACCTTTCCTCCCATTAGCACTTCACTTATCTGATACCTTTGGAGTGTCTACAGAGTTCTGCCTCATGAAGTCTGTTGCAAAATGTTAGTTTAAAGTTATTTGGCATTTCCTTGTTCCTTGTTATCAGTTCCCTAGTCACATTCTCAATGATCCCACATTCACTTTAGCTACACTTTTTATATACCAATCTTGCCGATTGTTTTTATATTTCTTATCTATTTAATTTCATAATGAATTTACTTCTTAATATTAGCTTCTTAGTCATCTGTTGCTGATTTCTAAAAATAAGATCCCAACCCTCTGGCTTAGCACGAGTTTTCACTGTTTTACATGCCTTAGTTTTTGACCGAATACATTCCTTGACCGTCTTTGTTAACCATGGGTGGTTTACCATTCTCATCAAGTTCTTCTTTTTGACTAGAATAAATTTTTACTGAGTGTTCTGAAGTATCAGTTGAAATGTCTGCCACTACTGACCTTCCCCTTAGCTTGTTTTCTTAGTCATCTTCGGACAACTCTTTCTTCCTAAGTCTGCAGTTACTCTTATTTAAGTTCAGGACCTTGATTTAAGAGCTGAGTTACTCTCCCTCAAACTAAATTGAAATTCTGTCATGTTGTGATTGCTAGCCTTCTGCAGCATTCTTAATTATGAGATCGCTTATTAGTGAAACATTATTTATTACACATTACTAGATCTAAAATAGCCTGTTCCAGTGTAGGTTGTGTAATGTATTATTCTAAGAAACAATCCCTGATGAATTTTACAAATTCATCTTCCTTGTTACCTTTGCCCATCCTATTTTTCTAATCAATGTTCAGATTAAAATCACCCATGATACTTATTCTGCCCTTCTTACATACCTCCATTATTTCCTGATTTATACTTTGCCCTATAGTGAGGCAACGCACTGGGACCCTATAGGTGATGCCCAACCATGACATCTTGCCCTTGCCATTCCTATTCCTACCCAAACTGCTTCTACATTATGATCTATTGCACCTGTAGGACTACTCATCGCCACACTGATGCTATCTTTTATTAACAACCTTACTGCACCTCCTTTTCCTTTTTGCCTATTCTTCAATGCCCTTGAATATTGAGTCCTGGTCACCCTGCAATGACTATCAAGTTATATTCATTTATTTCTGTTTATTCTGTTTGTGCCAGTGACTCATTTATCTTGTTTAAAAATACTGTGTGAATTCAGATGAAGCGCCTAAAACCTAACCTTTTACCATAATTACTTATTTTGGTTCTAATTTTCGTGGCACTCTTCTGCGTATATTTTCTGCCACTTCCTGTCACACTTTCATTATTTGTTTCTTCACTATCCGGCATCTTTTCTGTGTTGTTTGTTTTGATTCATTTTATATCCAGAAATGCTCTTACACACAACTGAACTTTCTTTTCCCATTACCAAATCACCCATGGTATTTTTTCCACCTATTAACCACCACCAGTAAATCACCCGTGTTTCCAATTGAATAATTTACATGCAAAGCTCATTAAGGGAAATGCAAACCATCAAACATAAGGCAGAGATAGAGAGGGTCTTTTTGCTTTTTAAAACTTCCCTTCAATTAAGCCCTCCACCAACTAATTAGATTAAATCTCTATCTACAACCCTAGTTGTTCAATTCACTGAACACCGGTCCCAGCATGGTTCTAATGAAGTCCATCCCATGAAACAGGTCTTTTTCCTCAGTGCTGGTGCCAGTGTTCAATGAATCAGAACCCATTTCCCCCATGCCAGTCTTTGAGACATGCATTTACCTCTCTAATTTCATTTAGCCAACAACAAATTGCACATGGCTGAGGTAGTAATCCTGAGATTATTGCCATTGTGGTTCTGCTTTCAAATTTATCCCGAGCTGCTCATAATCCCTCAGCAGAAACTCTTTCTTAATCCTACTGTGTTATTGGTTCCTATGTGAACCACAAAATTGGATCCTGCTCCCATTCCAATTTCTTCTCCAGCCAGAAGATATGTCCTAAACTTTGGCACCAGGTAGGAAACACAGCCTCAGGACGCTCTGTGTTTGCTGCAGAGAAAAGTGTCTATTCCCCTAACTGTTGCTATTCCCTATTATTACTCCATTTCTCTTTTCTTCCCCGACTTGAGCTCTGTACTATGGTACTTTGGTCAATTTGTTCATCCTCCCTTCACTCTGTGCCCTCTTTCACACTGGAAGCAAGGACCCTTTGCCTATTGGACAAGGGCACTGGCTGATGCTTCTCCAAAGTTAGATTCTGGATCCCAATACCTACATCACACACAGCCACACCCTCCTTGACTATGGACCAAATTTGATGTAATTAATTTTAGGAATATGACTGTCTCTTGAAACACAGTGTCTAAGTAACTCTCCCTCAAATTTCCTCAAGCAGCCAATACTTGCTGCAGGTGTCATACTGGCATTCACAGTGCCCACATACAACATCTGTAACACTTCACTTACCCAGCCACCTCTATTCAATTGAATTAATTAATCTGGTTGTCTATTAGTTTATAAATGAACCTTCTAAGTGTACTCTTCTGCTTCTTTTTATATTCCTATTCATTCATGGGATGTGGATGTCACTAGCAGAACCAGCATTTGTTACCCATCTCTAGTTACTCTTGAGAAGGTGGTGGTGATCTGTCTTCTTGAACTGCTTCAGTGTACGTGCTGCAGGTAGACTTTCCATGCTATTAGGGAGGGAATTCCAGGATTTTGACCCAATGACGTGGAAGGAATGTCAATATATTTCCAAATCAGGATGGTGGGTGGCTTGGAGTGTAACTTGAAGGTGGCGGTGTTCCCATGCATCTGCTACCCTTGTGCTTCTTGATGGAAGTGGTCATGGGTTTGGAAGGTGCTGTTTAAGGAGTCTTGGTGAATTTCTGAGGTGCATCTTGTAAATAGTACACACTGCTGCTACCGAACATTGGTGGTGGAGGGCGTGGATGTTTGTAGATGGTTCCAATGAAGCAGGTTACTTTATCCTGGATGCAGGGAGACCAGAATTGAACGCAGTATTGCAGAAGTAGCCTAACCAATCTCCTGTATAACCACATGTCCTCCCAACTCCCATACTCGATGCAATGACCAATAAAGGCAAGCATACCAAACACCTTTTTCACTATCCTGTCTATTTGCGACTCCACTTTCAAGGAGCTATGAACCTGCACCCCAAGATCTCTGTTCGGCAACACTCCCCAGGATCTTACCATTAAATGTATAAGTCCTACCCTGATTTGTCATACCAAAATGCAACACCTCACATTTATCTAAATTAACTCCATCTGCCACTCCTCGTCCCATTTGTCAATCTGTTGAAGGTCCTGTTGCACTCTGAGGTAACCTTCTTCTCTGTCCATACCACCAACTGTGGTGTCATCTGCAAACTTACTGACCATACCTCCTATATTCACATCCAAATAATTTATAGAAATGATAAAAAGCAGTGGACCCAGCATCAATCCTTGTGGCACACTGCCTGTCACAGACCTCCATACTGTTAAAAATATTTTTAATCCCCTCACATTTTTGGTGACATAACGGCCTTGGAAATGTCAGAACAGAGCTCAAAGAACCTCAGCTACTGAAACAGAATGAACAACTTTAGAACTGCCTTAATTGCCTCATAGCAAAGTCTACACAGTAATGCTCAGTAAATATCTGTACTGGCTTGCAAAGTACTGCCACAGGCAGAATACGCTGTTTTTGGTGTTCTCCAGGCATTGGCCTTACATCAAACAATGTAAAAGCAGTATAAAGATTAGAATTCTGGAGAGAGTACAATTACCATATCTAGATTAGAAAGCAGAAAACAATTGTTTTAGCCAAAAACACAGCTCCTGTTTCTGGACATTATCCAGTAGCAATGAAATGCGCTGATTAAGAGACTGTCAGGTGAGTAAACATCATGGTCTGCTGTGATGCCATTTATAGTTGAATAGCCTCACACTAGACTTGAATATGAAAGTTTTGTTTTGCCATCACTTAGACTGTGAGTACCTTAGGATAACAAGGTGTAGATCTGGATGAACACAGCAGGGCTTTCCTGCTGCTCTGATGCTGCTTGGCCTGCTGTGTTCATCCAGCTGTACACCTTGTTATCTCAGATTCTCCAGCATCTGCAGTTCCTACTATCTCTGAGTACCTTAGGAACCTTGTTGCAGCCAGAGTCGGCATCTGTAAGAAATTGGTGGAAAAAATAAATCTGCAAAATCTACCTTTACAAAATAGTTGAATATCTTTTATAGTCATAAATTTAGAAATATAAATTCATTAAAGAATTCAAGTTCTTTCTCCCTCAAGGGAAGAAGCTGTAACCTCTTTTTGTCTATCACGCAAGGCTGAAAAAAGAGTTGTTCAATAGCACAGAAGATGAGATTGAGTCAATTTCCAACAAATTGGTAAGTTTGTATTTTATCCTGAATGAAATTAACCATATTGTTCATTGATGCTATTTATGATTTCTGCTATTCATTCTAAGAAACTAATTCACTTAACATCATTCTGTAATTACATGTGAAAAGAGCCGCTAGCGTTAAGTATTGATGCAAGAAAACCTTCTGGTAAAGGAAAGAAAAATTTCACGTGAGGATTAGTCACAAAACACACTGGAATAGATCTGCTAACAGCTTGTTGACATTTAACATGTTTTATTTACATGAGGAAATTAGATAATGTAGTTGATGCATTGTGGCTTACTCTGGTTTAATACCTGTAGGACAAAGATGATTTTGCAACCTGAACTTCAGTCAGTAAAATAGATAACAAACACAAACACATCAAATAACTGTTTCAGAATTTTATTTTCAAATGACTTACTGTTAAGGAATGTACCAAAATTTGTCTTTACAAACAGTTTTAAAGTATGCCCAAGTCCCAGACAGTTTTTTTTCAAATTACTGATACTTTTATTTATTAATGAACAAAGTGTATAAGATCAACAAATTTTGGAATCAAGGTCAAAAGTTACTCGGACAAAAGTGAAAATGACTATATAAATTCATGTGCATTTTTCAACTGTCTATCCTATCCATTTAAAGACCAGTCTTTTTCCTTTTAGCTCTGTATTAGTCTATACATTTCAAGCTAATTATCTTGCAAACAAAAGCTCTTGATCTAGGAGCAGCCATTTACCCAGAAAACGTGAGAGACACGCTGGACTTCAGGTGAGACTGAAACTCTGAAATTTCAAACCCTCCCCTACCCAGCATACTCCTGACAAACATCCAAACCATTGAAAACAAGATGGATGACCTTAAAGCTAGACTCACCTTCCAAAGAGAATTGAGGGACTGCAGTGTGCTCTGTTAAACAGAGACATGGCTCACCCCTGCTGCACCTGACTGTGCCTTACAACCTGAGGGCTTCTCAATCCACTGAATGGACTGCTTGGTGTCCTCGAGCAAGTCATGGGGCATTGGGGTCAGCCTCCTAAACGACATCACCGGGTGCTCAAATGTGATGACCCTAGTGAGTCACTGCTCCTCAGACTTAGAATATTTAACAGTGAAATACTATCCATACTACCTGCTACACGAATTCACCTCCACTATCCTGACAGTGGTCTACATCCAACCCCATGCACTTAATGAAGTACGCTACAATCTAGAGACAGAAGACCCCCAAGCCTTCTCCATCATAGCCAGTGACTTCAACCAGGCTACCCTCAAAAATGTGCTACTGAAATACGGAATATGTCTCCAATGCCGACCAGAGCTCCGAACATCTTTGACGATTGCAGCACAAGCATCAAAGATGCCTACCGCTCCAACCCCCATCTGCATTTTGGAAAATCAGACCACAACACTATACTCCTCCTCCTGGCTTACATACAGAAACTGAAGCGTGAGGACCCAGTACAGAAAGTAGTACAGTGTTAGTCTGATGAAACTAAAGGGCTGGGACTGGTCCATATTCAAGAACTCAGCGGCCAACCTAAATAAGCATGCTGCTACCATTACTGATGTCATTGGTAAGTATGTCGATGACTGCATGCCGAAGAAGTTGAACCAAACACTCCCCAAATGGAAACCACGGATGAATTAGGAGATCCACTCTCTACTGAAGTCCAGGTCCGAGGCATTCAGGTCGGGTGACCCTCACCTGTAAAGGAAATCCAGCTACAACCTTTGCAAGGCCATCTGGGATGCCAAGCGGCAATTCCAGACTTACCTCATGGACACCTGTTGTTTGTGCCAAGGCTTACACGACAAAACAGGCTACAAAGTGAAGTCAAACAGAATCACGGGCAATAGTACATCCCTACCTGATGAGCTCAATGCATTCTGCACTCGCTTTGAACAGAAGGGCAGTGAATCAATGTCACCTGTCCCAACAGACTCGGATGCACCTGTACCCACTGTCAGCGCCACAGACGTTAGATCTGCTGCCTTAAGGGTGAACCACAGAAAGCTACCGGCCCTGATGGAGTCCCTGGTTGTGCATGCAGATCCTGTGCAGACAAGGTGGCGGGAGTATTTGCAGACATCTTTAACCTCTCCTTACTACGATCTGAAGTCCCCATCTGCTTCAAAGAGACCTACATTATCACAGTACCAAAGAAGAATCACGATGCGTGCCTCAATGACTACGGCCCGGTAGCTCTGACATCCATCATTATGAAGTGCTTCAAGAGGTTAGTCATGGCTCACAGCAAATCCAGCCTCCCAAATTGCCTTGATCCCTCGCAATTCACCCACTGGCGCAAAAGGTCTATGACAGATGCCATCTCACTGGCCCTACATTCATCCTCGGAACATCTGGACAACAAGGACACCTATGTCAGGCTCCTATCTATTGACTACAGCTCTTGCCTTCAACACCATAATTCCAAACAAACTCGTCTCCAAACTCCAGGACCTAGGCTCTGCGCTCCCCACTCTGTACTGAATTCTTGACATCCTCATCAACAGACTGCAGTCAATTAGGATAGGCAACAACACCTCCTCTGTGATAATACTCAACATCAGTGCCCCGCAAGGCTGTGTACTAAGCTCCCTACTGTACTCCTTAGACACATATGACTGTGTGGCCAAATTCTGTACCAACTCCATTTACAAGTTCGCTGATGACACCATCATGTAGGTCAGATCTCAAACAACAACGAGACAGAGTACAGGAAGAAGATTGAGTGCTTGGTGGCATGGTGTAAAGACAACAATCTCTCTCTCCACCAAAGTCAGCAAATGAAGGAGCTGGTCAGGGAGCAATATGAAGGGCATGCCCACCTGCATCAATGATGCGGAGGTGGAGATGGTCGAGAATGTCACAAATCACTAACACTCTGTCCTCGTCCACCCACATTGACACTACAGTCAAGAAAGCACAATGCCTCTAATTCCTCAGGAGGCTAAGGAAATTTGGTATCTCCATAAAGACACTTACCAATTTTTATAGATACACCATAGAAACCGTTCTATCTGGATGCAACACAGCGTGGTATGACAACTGCTCTTCCTGTGACCACAAGAAACTACAGGGAGTTGTGAACACAGCCCAGTCCATGACTCAAACCAGCCTCCCATCCATTGTCTCCATCTATACTTCTGGTTACATTGGGAAAGCAACCAACATAACCAAAGACCCTGCCTACCCCGGTTACACTCTCTTTCACCTTCTTCTGTCGGGCAGAAGATAAAAAAGTTTGAATACACATACGAACAGATTCAAGAATAGCTTCTTACCCCCTGTTATTTTGAATGGACCTCTTAAATGTCAATGTTGTTCTCTCTGCATCTTCTCTGCAGCTGTAACACTATTTTCCTGCACTCTGTTCTGTTACCCCGATGCACCTCGATTGTACAAATCTGCCTGTAAAGCATGTAAGACAATACTTTTCACTGTAAGTCGGTACACGTGACAGAAATAAATCAAATCACCATGATGTGTTCTAATTAACTGCCTGGTTGGAGCACCAGTCTGCAGGTTTTGAATTCAGGCTGGCTGGATTTTGGTGATAATACAGTCTTCCTAATGGGTAGTATACTTAATGAATACATCAACCTTTCTTTCAGAGCACACCTGTTTCTTAATAGAACATAGAGCATAGAACAGTACAGCACAATACAGGCCCTTTGGCCCACGATGTTGTGCCAACTACTAATGTATCATAGAGAAAACAATCTTTGAGGCTGAAGGTGCAGCATGGAATATATCTGGCAAAGTATACACAAAATTAAAGCAACATGAATTTTGTTTTTTCACTGTTGTGTTCATTTCCATTAGATCATTAAAGCCAAAGAAAACAAAGAGGAATCTCAAAAACCAAGTTCAACAGAAACTGAAACAGAGTCAGAGACGGACACTGATGACGATTATAAGGACGATATAAAATGCCATGAGAATCTGTGTGTATTGCAGTTTTCACAAGAATTATTACCAATCATAACCATTGAAAAGGTTGGGTAAAACACTGAGCTGCAATTAAATGTTTTTTGCCACAAAAAAAAGACATCCTCTGTTATGGTCTCAGGACAAATTAAACAAGCTGATTGCTTCTTCACAATGATTCGTGATTATCTCAAATTTATTTTGAACAAATGTGTCTTAATTACTCAAAGTAATAATGACTAAGCAGACCAGCTCTCATATTGGGGGGGTGGGAAGGAAAAATGGCCTCCTTATTCCCACAGGTCTTTCAAGTTATTTAGGCCTCATGATAAACTGTTGCTCCTCCTGCAGGCTGGGTAGCAAACAGGCTGTGTGTGTGTAAAGCTGCTCTTTGAACATCAGCTTTGTAATAGTCTTCTTGCACTTTTGTCAGGAAGCTATCCAAGTTGTTGGTGGGCACCATTGACACTATGCAGCCTCCCCATCCAGCACCAGTTAGCCGTGAACCAATAGCACCAGCTTGTCTGAAAAATAATGAATATAAATATCAGCAGAATGTGAGCATTCATTTTTCATGTCACAATTATCTATAAACTTCTCAGGATTTTATGTCTAAGAATTTTGTTTCATTTGATAGCCCATTTTCTTAACCCTCTTCAAATTTTTGTGCTCAGGAAAATCAAAGATTTAATTAGTGTGAGGGAATTGAATATTTCTCAGGTCACACATAGCAAACCAGACAGACAGCTCTTTCAACTGTGACTCAAGCCCAACTTCAAACACATATTGTACTGCACTGTCCAAGCCAACAAGGAATTAGATTGACTACCCAAGCTCTTCACAAATGATCCTTCAAAGTCAGTTGCAAAGAAAATTTGTCCCATTAATCTGGGGTGGATCTAGGTCACAAACATAAATAGGCAATACTCTTTCCACTGTTGCCAACGAGCATTTGAGAGATTTCAGTTTACTGCAGATTAGTGCATACAAACCACTAGCATCACATCTGATTACATTGTGGACTGTGAGCTGAATGTTTCTTTTACTCAGTTGTCTGTTCCTCTAACTTAAAAATCATGAAAAATGATTTATGTAGCAGAATGCATGTCATAAATGCTTCTACATTTTGTTCCAAAACAGTTAAAATCAATTGAGGATTTCAACAATGATCCAACAGACATCCAAATTCCACCAGGGAGTGATGAAGAATAAATTATATCTGGGGATTCAGAGATGGCAGTGGGTGCAGATCACAATATTGAATTTACATTCTGGTGTCACTGAACTGTGGTATGTGTAGCTGAGATTATGCAGCAGACATTGCTGGAAATTGAGTAGCAGGACTGAAGGAGTTGACCTAAGTAAACATCATTGACTGCAACTTTAAGTTTTGGAATTTCACAGGCTGAAGCTTTCTAATCCTAAATAAAGATATTAGAGAATCTACAAATCATTTGCAATATATTTAAATTATACTCTGAATATGATCCATGAGGGATTCCCCCCATGTGAATGTTAATCATGTTAGATAATACAAACCTAAATCCTTAACTAGTCATAGATACACAGCATGGAAACAGATCCTTCGGTCCAACTTGTCCATGCCAACCAGATATCCTATATAAATCTAGTCCTATTTACCAGTATTTGGCCCATATCCCTCTAAACCCTTTCTATTCATATACCATACAGATGCCTTTTAAATGTTGTAATTGTATCAGCCTCCACCAATTCCTCTGGCAGCTCATTCCATACACGCACCACCCTCTGCATGAAAATGTTGCCTACTGGGTCCCTTTTAAATCTTTCCCCTCTCACCTTAAACCTATGCCCTCTAGTTTTCGTCTGTAGTTTTCCTGGTGTAAAGACCTTGCCTATCTACCCTATCCATATCCCTCATGATGTTATAAACCTAGGACAGAGAATTTGGAAGATGCCAGAAGGAATATTTACTCTTATGTTTGAATGACCTTATCAAAACTTTGGGGAGCTTACTGGGTCATGATCAAGAAAATTAATATAGTTAAGAAATTGGAGCATGAGCTCATTGTGATATTTATTAAGATCATGGCTAAAAGAATATAGTAATTCCACTTTCCTATCCTATCCCCAAAGTCCAGAGAATTCAATAAAAATATGATTAGCTTTCTCATCCTTCACCTTCAATTCTGGCCTAAGATCATGGGTTTCTTCCCTGATTCTTACAAGGCCACCATATCAATTTTAAATCTACTAACTACAGGGCTGTAACTGCTATTAAACTGAAGTCTCATTCATAAAATACAATCATTGTGGAATATTGTGATGTGTTTCATTTTCTTGGTTAAGGAGCACTACTGAGATTAGATTAGGAACATTAATCTGTTTCAAAGGTTCCATTAGTGGCGTGAAGCTTCACTGGTGGTAACCACAGGCCATAAAATCACAACTGCAGCCTTGTGAAACTTCAGGTGCATGGCACTAAACTTTCACTGCAATTTGGCAGACAAAGTCAGGCTGCTCAACAATTATACATGGGCCTTATATAACTTGATAACTTCAGTCCTATGCTGAATTTTCTAGTTTAATTGAAACTCACATCATGTACATCCTCCGCAAAAAATAAGACAAAAGGTTTTCATTGGGCCTGGTAAGTTCAAGTTGGCTTTACAAATCAAGAATCCCTACAGTGTGAAAGCAGGCCATTCAGCTCATTGAGTCTGCAACAACCCTCTGAAGTGTACCCCACCCAGACCCACCACCCTACCCTATCCCTCTCACCTTGCATTTCCTGTGGCTAACTCACCTAGCCTGCATATCCCTGGACACCATAGGCAATTCAACATGGCCAATCCACCTAACCTGCATATCTTTGGACTGCTGGAAGAAACCCATGCAGACACGGAGAGAATGTGCAAACTCCACACAGACAGTCTCCCGGGGCTGCAATCAAACTTGGATCCTTGGCACTGTGAGGCAGCAGTGCTAACTACTGAGAGATATAATTTCAGTTCTGAGTATATGTCATGTTTTCAATTACATTTTGTTTCAAGTAGTAGCTGTTTCATCTGCCACTTGATTTTATTTGCCTTTTCCTTTTCCCCTTTCATATTTTCTTCAATTATTCTTGCTTGCTGGTGATACTTAACTTGTGCCACACACTGTGGCAAGCCTTGGCATTTTCCACCTCACAAAACAGGCTGCAAACAGAATTCTACCATCTGTAGCAGGATAATTAACAGCTAATATATGGCACAGGTTTGGCACATCAAATATAGGTGACACTTTCTTTCATTTGTTCATGGGTTCTGATGTCCCTAGCTAGGCAAGCACTTATTAGCCATCTCTAATTGCCCTCAAAAAGATAGTGGTGAGCTACTTTCTTGAACCACTGCAGTCTTTGGGGTACAAGACCACGCTCAGCACTGTTAGGAAGACAGTTCCAGGATTCTGACCCAGCAACAGTGAAGGAACAGCAATATAGTTCCAAGTCAGGATGGTATGAGACTTGGAGGGGAACTTGCAGGTTGTGGTGTTCCCATGCATCTGCTGCCTCTGTTCTTGTGGATGGTAGAGGTTGTGGGTTTGGAAGGTGCCGTTGAAGGCAGCTTGATGAGTTACTGCATGATATTTTGTAAATGGTACACATTACTCTGTTTTGTGGCTGTGGTGAAGGTACTAAACTTTGAAAGTGGAGGATGGAGTGCAAAACAAGTGCAATGCTTTGCCCTGGATGTTGTTGAGCAGCTTAAGCCTCATGGGTGCCCAGATTTCAATTTTTAGGCCGAAATTTAACATTTAGCACAGTGGTAGTGCCAAACAACATGACAGAAGGTATCTTCAATGTGAAGACAGGTCTTTGTCTCCACAATGACTGTATGGTTCATTCCTCCCAATACTGTCGTGGACAGCCGCATCTCCTAAATAGGTAGACTGGTGATGACGAGGTCAAACAAGTTCTCCCTCTTCTTGGTTCCCTCACCACTTGCTGCAGACCCAGTCTAACAGCTATGTTCTTTAAAACTTGACCAGTTGGTATATGGAGATGCTACTGAGCTACTCTTGTAACGTACACTGAAGTTCCCCACCCAGAATACTTTGTGTCCTGGCCTCCTCAGCACATTCTGCAAATGACGTTCAACACAGAGGGCTGCTGATTCATCAGCCGATGGGAGTTATTGGCAGTCATCTGCAGGAGATTTCTGGAACATTGTAAGGTATGATTTTGTGAACATGACTATGTCAGGCTGCTGTTTGACTGGTCTGTGGGACAGATCCACATAGGAAGATTTTCAGGGTCAAAAGGGTTGGATTTGCTGTTGCTATCTCCAGTGCCTAGGTCGATGCTGGCTATTGTCAGTGGGCAGAGTCAACCACATTGCTGTGGGTCCGGAATCGAATGTAGACCAGACTAGGAAATAAAAACTTCAAAGAAGTGTCTTACTATTTTAAAGTATAGTGTTCCTCATTCTTTGAGTGAAGTAATACTTCACAGGCATCCAAGCACATGGGAGAGATTTCAGGACATCCAAACCTCCAGGATATAGCGCATTATTCTATAAATATAACTTTTCCTTGACAGCTTGTATTTTCTCTCAGGTTTTCTAATGTAGTGAAACCCAATTAGTATTTCTCAGAAAGGAAATGAGGAATATACTGCTCTCTGTTATCTTTGTTCAATATTTACTATTTGCCATTTTTGGGACACTGACTTTTTTAAAAAAAAATGTGGAAGAGCTGATTTTATGAACCTTTTGCTTCCTAAATGATGCATAAAGACAATGTTTGCAAAGACAATGATGCAACTTTTCTGGCGGCACTTGATCACGAGAATTAATGTTGTTTACACTGTACAAATAGCCAAAGGACTGTGGATACTAGAAATCAGAAATTGCTGGAAAAGCTCAGCAAGTCTGGCAGCAATCATGGAGAGAAAGCAGAGTTAATGTTTCGAATCCAGTGACCCTTCTTCAGAATGCTTCTTCGAGGGAGGTGATGACCTAGTGGTATTATTGCTGGACTATTAATCTAGCGACCCAGATAATGTTCTGAAAACCCGGGTTCAAATCCTGCCACGGCAAATGATGGAATTTGAATTCAATAAACATCTGGAATCTACTGATGACCCATGAAACCATTGTCAATTGTCAGAAAAATCCCATCTGGTTCACTAATGCCCTTTTAAAGGAAGGAAACTGCCATTCTTACCTGGTCTGGCCTACATGTGACTTCAGACCCACAGCAATGTGGTTGACTCTCAACTGTTCTCTAGGCAATTGGGGTTGGGCAATAAATGTCAGCCCAGCCAGTAACACCTACCTGCCATGAATGAACTTTTTAAAAAAGCAGAATGTGGGAGTACTAAGTGCCATAAATTGGATAAACAGCGTAAGGCTTAATGCACAGAGTACTATCCATCTGTTTGTTCCACATTTACTGTTCATCCATACCAAGCTCTAATAAATTTACAGTATTTGCACTGCATATCATATTATTATAAATATGCAATTCAAGCTGATACTAACACTGCTTATAACTCCTAAAGTCACTTACAAACCTCTTAAGAGAAAAACAGAGCTTTAATTCTGATGTTTAACTGATGATATTGACTCCCACGTACTGCAAGTCCAGATTCTTTCTGTATATTAAGTGTCAAGGGGAATGTTGTTTACATCCTTGCCATTTAAAAAAAAATGAATGGACCACATTCTTCAGCTTCCTGTTTTTTAACCTATTTCTTATCAGCCCTTAAATAGCTTGTGCCTTCATTCATCAGCAAGTCTCCGATGCAGACTACTTTGAAAATTCACTAATGCAACATCCACAGCACTTCTTTTTCAATGCACAGTTATCTCCTTAAACAATTTTACAAAATTCATAAGGCACAACTTGGCTTTTGTAAATCTGTGATTAATAATCAGCGTAATTCATGCTTCTTTAAATATATAAAATGAAATAAAGAGGCCAAAGTGAACATAGGCCCCTTTGAGAACAAGGCTGAGGAAATAATGGGGAACCAGGAACTGGTAGAGAAGTTGAACAAATACTTTGTATCAGACTTCATAGTAAAAGACACCAATAGGAGTACAAAAATACTAAATAATCAAGCAGCAAAAGAGAGGAAGGAAATAAATATAAAAACTAGCACTGGACAAAAAGTATTCTGGAAACTAGTGGGAAGAAAGTTGTTAAGTCCTCTGGGTCCAATGGCTTACTTTCTAGGATATCATAGAAAGTTGCTTCAGAGATAGTGGATGCACTGGTAGTAATCTTCCAAGAATCCCTACATTCTGGAAAAGTCCCAGAGGATTGGAAAACTGCCAATGTAAGCTATAGGTCAATTAGCTTAACATCCATTATTAGGAAATGGATGCAATAGCACAGCTTTAGAAATACACCATGAAGCCATGCTGACTCCCTTGATTTTATGAAGGGGCATGCCTTAAAAATAAAAAGACCAAACTGTAAACATATCCTGTTTGGTTTGTACACAATCTAATATAGCCAAAGTCAATTTATATGATGCACTGAATTGTTTTAAACAATAACTTCAGACTCCACAGTTTGACTGTGAGTCAGTTGTCTTTGAGCAACTTTTGAAAATCAACTTTGGTTGCTTCAATTCAACACCTTGTAAGAGAAAGAAAGGCTTTATAACAGTGTTGATTGATAGACTGATGTATTGTTGTCACATATACCAAGATACAGTGAAAAGTGATGTTTTGGTTGGGGTGGGAGGGGTCTTTGATTATGTTGGTTGCTTTTCTGATGCAGCAGGAAGTATAGATGGAGTCAATGGATGGAAGGCTGATTTACGTGATGGACATGGGACCTATCTAACTGGTATATAACTTGTGTTTAGACAGTATTTTTAAATATTCATACAATTATGGATTTCATATAACTTTTTAAATTATTCCAAACATCAGGAGTAACAAATGAGATTTAATTGGCAATACGTGAGTTCCAGCTGAGAAACAACTGCACTCAACTCCCGTTCATCCAACGACATGGCTGTTGTGAGCAGCATTATTAAGATCTGTTAAAACGTCCACTTGAAAGGAAACTGAACATTGTGCTGCAGATCTATGTATCATTGAGAATGTACATAATGTACATTACAACAGGAGTTCTCAGAAACCCAAGATACATTGCCAGAGGAGCATTTCTTGGACTGTTTGTACTTCAAATTGACAAAAGACTCTGCAAGTAGTTGTAATGTTTTAGAGAGGGTAAATTAGCTCTGCAAAATGTTAGCAAAAAGACGTTCACAACTTACCACTGTTCTTTGTAACTACTTGTGTGGACTTACTTACTTTCCTTGCAGTTACTCTTTAACTAATAAATAAATATAATAATAATGACAATTCTAGTTCACTGATACTTTCACCCTATAAATTTGATTGGGTATCCAGGAGTTTCAATGCACAATTTACATTATTTATTTATTCTAAGCTGTAGGAAGCAGATTGCACTTAAATCTGCATTTCTAGAGTTTCTGAGGAATGTGCAAATCCAAATTAAATGACAGTCCCTACTGTTTGCAACAGAACCACTCTGATTTGTACACAGTGTTTCCTGTGACTTATGTCACACATTAGAACTGAAAATAGTGAGTATGATATACTGTTTAGTTTGTTCCAGTTTCTGTTCCTAATGATTTTTCAGCACTAACATACATTAAAGATCTATTGAAAGGAAGACCAAGGCTCTTCTATAGGTTTAAGAAGACATTTTAAATATGTGTAAGGATAAGACCAATAACTACAGTTAGTTAATTTGGTGGGGATTTCTGCCACTTCTAAGCCCATTGGCCCATATGATCAAGATCCCATTGTGCTCTGAGGCAACTTTCTTTGCTGTCCACTACACCTCCAATTTTGGTGTCATCTGCAAACTTACTAACTATCCCTCCTATGTTCACATCCAAATCATTTATATAAATGACGAAAAGCAGTGGACCCAGCACTGACCCTTATGGCGTACCACTGGTCACAGGCCTCTAGTCTGAAAAGCACCACCACCCTCTGTCTTCTGCCTTCCAGCCAGCTTTGTATCCAAATGGCTATTTCTCCCTGTGTTCCATGTGATTTAACCTTGCTAATTAGTCTACTACAAGGAACCATATCGAACGCCATACTGAGCGTCCACCGCTCTGCCCTCATCAATCCTCTTTATTACTTCAAAAACCTCAATCAAGTTAATGAGACATGATTTCCAGAACACAAAGCCATGTTGACTATCCCTAATCAGTCCTTGCCTTCCAAATATATCTAAATCCTGTCCCTCAGGACTCCCTCTAACAACTTGCCTGCCACCGATGTCAGGCTCACCGGTCTATAATTTCTTGGCCTTTCCTTACGAATAATCTCACCACATTAGCCAACCTCCAGTTTTCCGGCACCTCACCTGTGATACAGATATCTCAGATGGAGTTTAATTTAGATAAATGTGAGGTGTGCTGCATTTTGGAAAGGCAGATCAGGGCAGGTCTTATACAGTTAATAGAAACAGAAGATTACTACCTGAATGGCTGTAAATTGGGAGAGGGGAGTGTGCAGCAGGACCTGGGTGTCCTTGTGCATCAGCCACTGAAGGTAAGCATGCAGGTACAACAGGGATAAATAAGGCAAATGGTATGCTAGCCTTCATTGCGAGAGGTTTCGAGTTCAGGAGCAGGGATGTGTTGTTGCAGTTGTACAGGGCCTTGGTGAGGCTACACCTGGAATATTGTGTGCAGTTTAGGTCTCCTTTTCTAAGGAAGGATGCTCTTGCTCTCAAGGGAGTGCAGCGAAGGTTTACCAGGCTGATTCTAGGGATGACGGGTCTGACGTATGAAGGAGAGATTGACTAGGTTGCGACTGTTTTCGCTGGAGTTCAGGCGAATGAGGGGGGATCTCATAGAGACATATAAGATTCTAACTGGACAGGGATTGATGCAGGGAGGATGTTCCCGGTGGTGGGTGTGTCCAGAACCAGGGGTCACAGTATGAGAATTCGGGGTAGACAATTTAGGACAGAGATGAAGAGACATTTCTTGACCCAAATTGTGGAATTCATTACCACAGGAAGTAGTTGATGCTAAAACATTGAATATATTCAAGAGGTGACTAGATATAGCACTTGGGGTGAATGGGATCAAAGGTTATGGGGAGAAAGCAGGATTAGGCTATTGAGTTGGCCGATCAGCCATGATCATGAAGAATGATGGAGCAGGCTTGAAGGGCTGAATGGTCTCCTCCTGCTCCTATCTTTTGTTTCTATGGATCATGTCTGTGATCAAACTTGACTTTTTTAAAATCATTTGAAAAAATATGATGATACTTTTCTGTGGATAGATGAAGTACTTTGAATAAAATCAACTCCTGTACACTTTCCTTCCACTTTAAGTATTTTTATACAAATATATCCAACTAAGATTAGCAATGATAAAGCAGAAGCTCTTCTTGATGCACTCAGAATATTTAGGATAATTGCTGAAATTGTATCTACTCCAGGCAGATTGATACACAGCCTGAATATGTAAACACATTATCTTCAGTCTGAGCTGCTTGTGTTTCTGATTCGTTTCCTGACCAGTCATATTACTCCAAGAGTTATTTTAATGCTGACTTCACAATTGAAGTATTGTGGTTGCACTGACATTTAACATATATTGTAAAATCATGTTTTCAGTCTTTTGTCGAAATTACATCTTCAACCAACTGAGATAAAATGAGCCTTTATTTGTGGTCTTTTTAATTATTAGATATAAACAAAATTCTGCATTATGTCATTTATATTGTATGGAAAATGTGACACAAAACATTCCTCGATATAATTAACATACAACTAAATTATCCTTGTCTTATTCTGTTGGAAAACTTACATACAGATGTCCACCAGCTGATCAAGTTCTGGACAGCTGCACTCGTACATATCCCTACAGCTGATATGGCTTTGATTCATCAGTTCTCCCAACAACTGCAATGCATTGGCAGGTGTCTCATCACAAATTCTCTTGAACTGTAGAACTCGTTTGGCTTCACTGTAAACATGCTTAGCACGCTGGTAAAGTTTGAATGTTGTCACTGTAGAATAGAAATATTACTTTTTAATTTTAATGTTGTTAACGAACAATGTTGAAAAATTAATTCAAGAAGTAACTCTCTCAGGAAAAAGACCTTTGATTTCACACAATTGCAAATACTGCTTTGGCTGTTCAAATGATACTGAACATGGCAGCAATAAAACTAAAACAAAGAAATCTTTTTTAACTAATCAGATACGCTACTAATATTGTGTATTGTGTAACCATTTTGCTCATGACAGTCGAAGGTTTTCAGAGGTACTGAGGAAATCAATTTAAGGTAGTAGATGGGACTCAGGCTGACCCTGGATTCCCACTGCACATTGCTACTGTGAAAAGAATGGTTCATTAAAATTTGTTGCCTGTATGATAATTTCCCACTCCATGGATTCTTAAATTGATTTCCTCAGTACCTCTGAAACCATGATTGGCATGAGCAAAATTGTTATACAATTTAAAATATTGTCAGCGTTATCTATTCAAATGTGTCAAATCAATGTATTACTATGGGGCAAGATTATGGTTAGACTGCAACTTAATAAAGTACTTTATTTGAAAGGGAGATACAGGTTTTGTTTCTAAGTTACAATTCCATTACAAAAGTGAACTGTTTTTACGGCATCTGTTCCTAAGCGGTAGGATGTTAAATAAAAGCATGATTTTAATACTGTAATAATTCAGACTCTAGAATTACTGTTTGCTAATAAAGAACTGGGAAGAGGGTAGAGAAATTCATGCAGACATTGGTATGTAGGAACAGGAGTAGGCCATTCAGCCCCTCAAGCATGCTCCACCCTTTAATGAGATCATTGCAAGTGTGTAGTATACAGCATACATCTGCTTTTGGTCCGTATCCTTTTGCTTAACAAAAATTCATCTCAGATTTAAAACTAATAGCTGATCTATTATTCCCTGCCATTTGTGGAAGAGAGTTTCAAACACATCACCACTTTGCATGTAGACAAGCTTCTTAACATCTCTCTTGAACAATCTGGCCCTAATTCTCAGACTATACCCCCTAGTTCTAGAATCCCCAACTAGCGGGGCTAGTTTATCTTTTATCTAACGTCTCTTTTCCTGTTAATATCTTGAAGACTTCAATCAGATCACCTCTTCACCTTCTAAATTAAGGCCTAATTTGTATAATCTCTCCTCATAATTTAAAGTCTGAAGTCCAGATATAATTTGTATAATACTCCATCAAAGACAAATAGATCTTTCCTAAGGTGTGATGGCCAGATCAGCTCACAGTATTCCATTTGGGGTCTAACCAGGTTTTTGTATGACTGCAGCATAACTTCTACATCCTTGTACTCCAGTCCTCTAGGTATAAAGGCCAGCATTCCATTAACTTTTTTCTGCATCTGTTCCTGACATTTTAAAGATCTATGCATCTGAACTCCCAATTCTCCTTGGACATCCACTGTATTTAACTTCATACCTTCTACAATGTACGCTGATCTATACTTTTTTTGTCCGAAGTGGATACCCTCACACTTACATTGAATTCCATCTGCCACAGATTTGCCCATTCACTTAGTCTATCAATATCTCATTGTATTTTTATGCTATCCTCTACGATACCACCTAACAGTGTGTCATCAACAAATTTGGATATATGACTTTCTAAGACATTATCCAAGTGATTAATCAACAAATGTGAATAATTTAAGGCCCTAACTCAGATCTTTGTGGGATACCACTGGTCATATCCTGCCAATTCCTGTACCTACCCCTTATTCCTACTTTCTGTCACCTGCCACTCAACTGATTTCCCAGCCTCTTCAGTAATTTGCCCTCAATTCCACCTTAGGGCTCCTACCTTTGTTAACAGTTATGACAACGTAAACTTAAGAACTTTAATAACATCATGGATTGAAAGAATCAGAAATAATTCTTCCTTAAATAAATTGTTCCTGACATGAAGGGAACAGGGAGAATCTGTTATAAAGGAATTAAAAGCAGCATGCTAATTAACCATCTCTGGGAAGGACTCAAAGCAATATAAACAAGCTGTTTCCTGGGAGACAGAAGGTAACACTGCTTGATAACCTGCTTCCTCATGACAATGGGCAATTAAGGCTGCCTGCAGAAGGAATGTCCTGAAGTAAAAGCCTTAATTGCAGGACAACAAGGTGCAGGGCTGGATGAACACAGCAGGCCAAGCAGCATCATAGGAGCAGAGAGGCTGACGTTTTGGGCCTAGACCCTTCATCAGAAAAGGGGGAGGGGAAGGGGGTTCTGAAATAAATAGGGAGAGAGTGGGAGGCGGATAGAAGAGGGATAGAGGAGAGGATAGGTGGAGAGAAAACAAACAGGTCGAAGAGGCGGGGATGGAGCCAGTAAAGGTGAGTGTAGGTAGGGAGTTAGGAAGGGGATAGGTCAGTCCAGGGAGGACGGACAGGTCAAGGGGGCGGGATGAGGTTGGTCGGTAGGAGATGGAGGTGCGGCTTGAC